CAATTGCGAATATTAATTATTCGTCAGTGTCACGAAAAATCAATCGTAAATGCATTGAAGCTTTAATTAGGGCACACACTTCATACTTCACTGGCAATTTCTCTCGCATGACAAAATGGGCGAGGAATTGATCACGTGTAATCTTGGCGTACCGGACGACGTACCGGATTTAATGAACTTTTTCTGAAAAAAAAATCGCTCACTTAGCCGTAGAATTGTGTAACACACTCGAGTACCCACGATTCGAAATAGAAAATGGATCCTTCAATTTCAGTTAGAAATAATTTATTTATACATATAAACATACTGTGGCACTTAGGCTAATCGATGTTTAAATTTATTATTATGCAAAGTTTGAGTAGTAAAAAAGTGGCGCGTGAGAAAAAAGTCATTGTTAAAATTAAATAAGTCTATTTTTGGATCCAGCACATTTCAGGCTGTTATGGCATTTATTATCCTTAGATATGCTTTCATACTCATCAATAATTGTCAACATTGTTATCGATTGTTCCTAAAAGATCACCTATCTTCACTAAAGATGATTTAACGTGCTGTGACCTTATCTAATCTAATCATAAGAGAATCGACCATTTTTTTGTACACTACAACAGGCAGCTGTAACTTATATTTTTACTTTCGATCAGTATCAGGACAACTAAGCGATCCTTAATGATCCACGATGCACCGCAAATTCTTTTACTGCGAAGTTCTATGTTGCTTGGACGATAAGTATCGCAAACAAGCCTTTCTTACTACCTGGGACATCAATTTTGTATAGATATTCTCTCAGGAACGTAATTACGTCTGCAAAAATAGAAGTGGAGTTGTCTTATTATTAAATTAATAAATGTTTCGCGTGATGCTATATTTACGAGTGTTCTCGGTACTTCTGAATAACTTTGCGCTTCGTTCTCCGCTGGTGTAAGGCCAAATCGATTTTGAGTCGAGAATATTGACGGAATCTCGTTAGAAGTTCGGTGACCCCAGAAAAAGTTGTCGGACAGAATTATCGTTCCCAAGGTATAACCCCGTGGAATTACATTCGTGCCCGCCGTGCTAGACCGATGATGTCGGGGACCTACCCCCGAAAACGTAGCTTCGACAGCTGGATTGTGACTAAGGAGGGTGAAGTTTACGTTTGTCGACAGGAATGATTCACGAGTTTGCCACGTGACTGGCGTATATCGTACTTTTTAAAATCTTGCAAAATAATTCTGATATTAATTTCTATTTATGCACACGTGCAATGTTTATACACTTGATATACTTTTATTTTTATTTGATATACTTTATTTTATTAATTAAATACATTTTATCATGATACACAGATTGTAGGTTCTTAAATTAATTGTAAATGAATTCCTAAATTAATTGTTAATGAATTCAAATGAATGTCACGTACTTAGTCAACATTTTCACTTTTACTTCGAAAACATATGTATCAATAAAAAAAAAGCAAAACAAAAGCCAAATGTTGCTTCGTGCATTTGATAATTATTAGTAGCTGTCTCAACAGGATTAAATCCTTTTTAAATCGTTCCCTTTCGTCTAGCTGGGGATAGTCATAGATGCGTCTGATTTCGGGGAAAGAAAGGATTTGCATGCGAATGACGTACGTGTATGTGTGATACATGCACACGTGTACGCCGTTTTTTTTTTGCATATGCTGTTCCGCATCTGTTACCAGTCATGCCCTAGTCTAAACTTTATTCCCTTTTGTTCTCCACCTTGACCAAACGTTGTAAAGCTTATAATAGGTAGCGATGCTTGACATTAGGTATGGTCATGAGCGCGACCTGGGATTTTTTTCTTTTTCGTGACGAGAGCACCCGACCAATCCGAGAGGTAGGAGTTCCATCCATTTCGTTAATCACGAATCTATTAAAATGAATAGAGTTTTTTACGAACGATATCAATGAAAACAAATTTATTAAATTTTAATAAATATTTGTTTAGATAGCACTAACTAACATTTACTCATAGTAAATGTAAATATTTATTCAATAAAAGTGATACTTAAATCGAATTAATAGTTTTACCAAATATA